TGTAAAGCTGCCCGGAGGCCAGCGGACACTCTCATGTACATACTATACTTCTGGCCAGAACACTGTTCTCTTCAACTGAGACTCGTTCCGGCAGTTTTCATTCGGGTCCTGTTTTATCATCGTGACTTTGTACAGCCATGTACAGCCCGGGCTTTATCCATACCTGTTGTGGTCTGGAAGTCAAGGGATTCTACATGCCAGGCCCGGCTCTTGCAAAGCTGCATGTCCGGCGGTAATGCCGAGCCTAGAACGGAGGGCTTCCTGAAGGGGAAGCGGAAACAAAAAACGGTCGACAGCGAGTCCGGTCCTAAGCCCTGAAACCCAGGCCCTAAACCCGAAGCCCGAAACCCTCCCTGAAGACCCCAGACCCTAAACCCTGAACCCGAACCCCCCTAAACCTTGAAACTCATGAAAACGAGTCCAGATAGCTCTTTACTCGGAGCACCAGCTGCCTTGGGACTTAACGTCGGGACCTTGAGTAAACCCTTCGACGTAGGTAGTGCTGGGCGTTTCTCCACTTTGCTCCGATGCATGAGAATGATCATGTTTCAACTTTTTGGGTTCTGTCTTCATAGGTTTTAATCCTGCGACCTAACTTTCTTTGGCTGAGGGTACCTAATGTCTCAAGTGTTCAACACCAATCGCCCGAAGGTTCGTGCTCTTGTCGAGGCAACTCTTGTGGTAATGGCCGGCAAGCTAATCAAGAAACCCCAAACCCCAAATTTGAGTTTAGGGTTTAGGGTTTAGGGTTTTAGGGTTTAGGGACCCTACATGGTCACACGTACATAAGTGACTGCGGAGGTTTTCGGTAGCCATGTTTATGTGGAATGGTCTCTGAACCCACGCCTGCCAGCAAAAGGCAAGAAAGTGCAGATATGCTCGTGAAAATGACGTTCAAGATTCTCGGAGGCATGTCTGCGCTGTCTTGACTTTTGCTGGCAGCATGGGTTCAAACCCCAATTCTTTGATTCCTTATAGTCCTGGCTTCCCCAAACCCGAGCACTGTCTTGACATTCGCTGGCAGGTGTGGCTTCAAAGCCCATTTATCAGAGAAAGTTGGTGGCGCCAGGACGAAAGCAGCCTTCCCCCTACCCCCACTCCCCACCCCCCTTCCCCAAGGAAAGTTGACTAAAGTCCGAACCTGGCCGCGCCTAGAATCCACAGCGACAGTCTGCAAACCGCAAAACCTGCACAAAAGCGCGCGGCCAGTTACGGACGTGTGTGGCCCTAAATAATTACCGTACCTTTTGAAGGGCTTATAGAAGGAAATCATAGTAAGGAACCCTACGAGGGTAGGTTCTCTAGGGTCCAGGTAATGTAGGAACCTGATTAAGAAACCCTGGCCCTGTAACCCCAATTTATTGGGGTTCATATTAAGAACCCTAATAAAGAGCCAGGGTTTCTTAATCAGGTTCCTACATTAGGCCCTAACCCCCACCCACACTGCAAGCCTCGATTCGATGGGCCGGGCTCAAGGGAGGTCACCCTGAAGTGTTCAAGTCATGCCATCCCTCCACACCAGACAAGTGTTGAACACCCTGAACCCTAAACCCTAAACCCTAAACCCTAAACCCTATACCCTATACCCTAAACCCTAAACCCTTGAGGGGTGAGGACGTCAGAGCCCCGAGGCTGTAGCTAGGTGGATGGTAGCGGTGAGGGCCGCCGGGACCGCGGAGTCCCCGAAGTTCTCTTTCAGGGTTTAGGGCTTAAAGGGTTTGCAAAATATCCCATGTCAGCCATCAGACGCGACTCTGCAGTTCTTTCTCGAATGTGGGCGGCCCTGCCTGAGCTTGCTAGGGAACTTAGGTTTTGGGGACCCAGCAATAGCAGCGGCCTTCCTCTTTGGGCAGCTTTCTTACTGGCTGCTTTCTTTTGCTGCTTCGGCTGCTGTCTGGGCGTGCTCTGCGCGACTCTGGCATTATCCGCTGCAGCTCGCCGCTTCTGCTCGCAATGCCTACGCTTTCTTGCTGCCTGGTTGGAGTTAGCCTCTTCGCCAGCCCCTCGTCTTCGAGCTCAGCTGGGCAGGCGGTTACAGGAGTACCGTGAATGAGTGATCGCTCTCCCCTGGCTGACCTTGAGCTTCGTTTTCGGGGGCTTCGCATCACCATCTCAGCTGGCGAGAGCTCTGCGCCTCCGGCCGAGAGCGCTGCTTCTTCATCACCTTCGAGTTCTTTCACTTTGGTGGAGGCTCCTGCTGACGGCTCCCAGGCCCCTTCTGGACCCCTTGCAGGGGAGGCCACGCGGCTTCCCGAAGCTCCTTCGGGCACTTCGGTTTCTGAGGACTTCCTGGCAGCTTCTACTCCCGAGGAGCTTGGTGCTCTTCGTCTTGGGCCTTTGGGCAATCTTGCTCGAGGTCTGAGGTCAGTGGGTCCTTGGACCTCTGAGGGCAGGATCGCGCGGGCTTACAGGGCTGGCTTGTTCGCAGGAGCCCTTTTCCGTGAGGAGAGGGAGTGGATTCACTCTTCGCCTGGGCTGGGCCTTCGGAACAGGCATTACATCGTCCTTCAGTGCGTTGCGGTGCCGGCGGGCTTCTACACGCAGAATTTCGCCACCTTCGAGCGAGATCGGCACGGGCGCCTGGAGCATAATTGCATTTGCCACGGGTTCCCTTCGCGATCGGAAGTTGAGGCCTATCTTTGTGGAGCAGATCTACCATGGCCGCGGGAGCTTTGAATCGCGACGACATCCTCCGGCTTCTTACCAACGCGCCGGAGGGCAGGCCCCTGCCTTTGGTTTATCTGCTGGACGACGACGTGAATCCTTCGATGAGGGTGACGGCCTTCCTCTTGAAGCACCGGGCCGGTGGCTTCATGGTCGCCCTGCCCAACACTCATGCGGTGTCTGGCATTGTGACGGGCTTGTCCGAGGACGGTGCGGATCAGCCCTTTGGCTTTACCGAGGCCGAGGTCGCTTGCGAGACGCCTCGGCGACGACCCGTGGGCTCCGTCTCCGTGCTTCTGGTCGATGTGCCTTGGTCGGGTCTCGATCTGTTTCGCCGAGGCTCTTCCCTTCGCTCGAGCTCCCTGCAGCTGATTTCGATTCTCTCTGGTGGTGCTGTGGTCAGGCCAATCCTGGCTGCCGCCCTTGCTGCCGCCGACGCTTGGATCAACCAGGCCATGGCCGAGCCGGAGCTTCAGGAATCTATGGGGGAATATGCGACGGCGGCCGAAGAAGCCGCCGAGGACGAGGTGGATGGCGAGGGCGAGAACGAGGGCGAGGAACCGGAGCCCAACGAGGAGTTAGCTCGGCTTCGGGCCCATATTTTGGAACGGGCTGCTCAAAGCCATCCTCCTCCCACCGGCGTGGGTCGCGCTTCGGGGGCTCACGGGCGCCGTGGTGCTCGACATCTTTTCCCGGCCGGGGCTGGTACCGGGCTTTCTGGTGGGGACTTGGAGCACCTTCGCGCCGCAGCCGGGGCGCCGCCGCCGAGAATTGCTCAGCACGAGCGGGCTCCCCGCGAGGCGGCGGTGCAGCAAGCCGACGACCTCCTCGCCGAGTTGGACTTGGAAGCCGCCCAGGACGAGCCCGCCGCTGGCTCAACGGATCCTCTGCTTCACAGGTTGCTGCTCATCCAGACCCGCATGCTGAATCAGCTTACTGCGAGTCGTCCCCAGGGGCCCTTGGAATCTGCGCTGGCTTCAGGAGGAGCCAAAGACGACGGCAACTTGAACGCTCGCGGCAGTGCGGCTCGGGATGCCTACGTCCGCCTGCTCAAGGACAGTGTGCAGGTGTCGTCGCAGATCCGACGATTGGTGGCAGAGGACCTCGGGGAGTCCGTGGAGGATCCGCCTGCGAGTCTTATGCGACGGTACATCGAGCGTCGCTCGGCGAGCACAGGACCTTAGCTTTGGTGGGGTCGTTCGCGGCTCATGCCTGGCAGCGGGCCCGGGAAACCGACAACGGCGATATGGAAGCCTGGTTCGCGAGGTTGATCTTGTTTGTCGATCAGGCTGGGACCGAGAACGGAAGGTCTCAACTCGCGTGGTTGTTGTCCGGCCTGCCGGGGCCAAGCTGGTCCACTATGATGCGCCGCAAGAGCGGCATCAAGCCGTTTGCCAAGAGCTGCCCGTCCCTGTGGGCTTCAGCCAACCTGGCGTATCTTCGCGTTCGCGAGATGGACTGGCTGTCCAGCAAGATTTCCAGCAGCGGCGGCGGCGATCCTCCGAAGGATGGTGGAAAGGACGCAGCCGCAACCGAGGAGAACGACCCACCTCAGCGTCCACCTCGTCGCCCGCGACGGCCCAAGGGCGCCCAGGACAGCTGAGAGTTCGGGAGAGAACTGCATGTTTGATCGACGGGGTGGAGCCTGGTCGGTCCTTTTCGGCTCCCCGTGAGCCCTCTAATTCGGATAGTGTGTTTTCGGATCCAGCTGGGGCGAAGCCCTCAGCGGCGCGGGCAGGGCCGAAGGGGTCTGCGTGTGATCGTGTTGTGCCCGATCCCCTTTGTCAGTATAAGCCTGAGCCCTCGAAGATTCCTCTCAACGAGACGTGCTTCATCGGTTGGGTCTCTAGTTTTTTAGGTTCCTTTTGGGGTGCTAGGTCTAGTTTGGGGTCTTTCCTCAGATTGTCCCTTTGCGCTGCCGTCTGCACAGTTCTGCCTGAGTGCTCTTCAGGCGATTTGTGGCCTGTCCCGATGCCTTCGCGGGCTCGATGGACGGCTCATGCATCTTGCGCTCTCGGGCCTCAGCGCCGCCGCCGAGCTAGGGTTTAGTTCGGCTTCAGGTTGGTGTGCTAAACTGGTTGTCCCTAGGCTGTCCCTGCACACCCCCACCAGTTGCTTGTGCTGGCGGCGCACCGGTGTCTGATGAGCAGCACCTGGTTCTTGAGACGCTTGAACGACACAGTTTGCACTTTTTGAGAGCTGGCCCACTCAGCACCGCATCGCTTGGACGGTCGGCCGAAAAGTACAACCTGCTCGCAAGCATGGCCGAGGAACTGCCGCAGACCGACACCCGTCGGATTTCGGATGTGGACAGCATGCTTGCCAAATTCATTGATGCACTTCAGGGTGGTTGGGATCCTTACTCCCGCCCCCGTCGTTCTACCCCTGCGCCTTCCAACATTGCATCGTCGACTCAGGCCGCAGCTTCTGGAGAGGCTGGCGTCAGCGCTGCAACTTCGGACGCTTTAGGGGTTTGTTCTTCGGGTTCTGGTCTTTCGGCTAAGAAAGTCATAGCTGACCGAATCAAATGGTCTCTTCCTCCGTCATTCGACCCTCGGCCGTTCCTTTCTGATCCCCTGGCCCGCCTGGTTTATGATGACCCTCAGGCCCTTAGGCTTCCGGAATCAGCTTGGCCCAGCCTGCCTCGCGCACAGGTCCATTGCACCCGTGCCGAGTTACTGCGGCTTGCCGCCAAATGGGATCAACACAAGGCGCTTTGCTTAGTGCCGTGCAGTGCCGTTCCATTTCAGGAAACCGTCGGTTGTTTTGCGGTAAGTAAGGACTCTGATTTCGATAGATTCATTATCAACCCTGTGGTGGCAAACAGTAGGACCCGAGTTCTTAGCCGTTTTACTAAACTTCTTGCGCCGGGTTCCCTCCTTGCCTTAGCACATCTCCCTTCTGATAATCATGTCTTTCGATTTTGCTGTGACGATTTATCTGAAATGTACTACACGTTTGTGGTGGCGGACTCACGATCCAAAAGAAACTGCTTGGGGATGTCTTTCTGTCCTTGGGAACTTCAGGGGTTTAGTGTCTACGACGCTTCGGTTCACAATCAACCTTGCTATATAGCTTTGGGAACGCTAGCGATGGGCGATTGTCATGCAGTTGAGTTCGCTCAACAGAGTCATTTTCACGTACTTAGTTCGATCGGGTGCAGCATGAGACCGCAGGAGTACGCCGCTTATCGCCGGGCTTATCCCAGAGCTGCGTGCGTCGAGCTGTTATCAATAGATGATCACCTTACTTCACAGCTATGCACCCGATCTGAGCTTAAGGCCGGAGCCTCACTTCGTGACACCCAGGTTTTCCTTGGTTCAGATAGGGCTTACCCCACTGTAGGCCTGGTTCAGCACCCCAAGAAACGTCAACGTAACATTACATCCGGAACATTCCTCGGAGCCGATGTCGATGGGCTCTCTGGCTTGATCTCGGCCCCCAGGCATCGGATTGGAGTTCTGATGCGCGTCACGTGCATCGTTGCTCGGAAAGGCTGCTGCTCGGCGAGCCTCTTGTCATCGCTTCTGGGACTTTGGATACATGTTTTGATGTTTCGCAGGCCGGCTTTGGCCGTCCTGCAAAGCGTGTTGGCTGATGTCCGCCGAACACCACGGGATGTGATCTTTCAGTTGGAACGTGATTCGGTGAACGAGCTTTTCGCTCTCTGTGCCTTGGCACCTTTGTTGCAAACAGACTGGCGGGTCGACTACCCGAATCTTCTCTTTTGCATGGACGCTTCGCCTACGGGCGCCGGCTTATGCGCTGCTGCGCTGCCTCGCGACGTCGTCAAAGAGCTTTGGCGCTACTCTGAGCAGAAAGGTTTTTACACAAAGCTTCTCGAGCCTGCAAGTGCTATCCTTGCGGCTGCCGGTCTCGATGAGGATCCTGGTGTGGGACTTGTTGAGGATTTGGGTGATGCAAACGTTGCTGGATTAAGCTTCGGCTCCGAACCGCTGCCCTTGAAGCGTCCTCTCTCGACGACTGGGGGCTTTCTGCACTTGTTTCTCCCAGGTTCTACCTGGGACCAGGCGCATGAGGCAGCCGGCCTCGCGGCTGTCCCTTTGACCGACCCGCGCCTTCCGAACGAGCTGCACTTCACTGCTTTGTCGTCGGATGCCGTGTTTCACGGCCTTCGGGATCTCATCACCAGCGGGGCGGTGTTCGATCTACATGTTTCTGCCCCTGCCCTCTCTTTTCTCCCGCGTGGTCGCTTCAAGGCCCGCTCTGAGGCGGATCCTTCTGCAGCCTGCCGCGATAGTGGGGATTTGGCTCTGCACAACCAGTTGGCTCGCCGCCTGTGCTTCCTTTTGTGCATTGCAGCGTCTTGCGGCGTTTACTTCAGTGTTGCACAGCCCGCCGCCAGCTTGATGTTCCGTCTTCACTGCTTTCGTAGCCTGGTCGCCTGCGGTGCTGTGTTGTCTTACGCCTGCGCTTGTGACTTCGGCGCTCCCTTCCGACGGCCTTTGGCCCTCCTTCGCAACAAGCCTTGGCTCTTGGAGCTTGGTGAGTGGGGCGGTGTTTGTCGGTGTCCCCCTGGTGCCTCGCACTTTCCGGTCACAGGGTCCTTCTCTCACGTTTCAGCGGGGCGTTTCGAGACTCTGTGCTCCCCGTCTGCTACGGCGATGTTTGGGCGCTCTCCTCGTGCGGGCGAGTTGGTTTCAAGCTACTGCGCCGAGTACCCGCGTGCCTTAGCTTACCGTGCGGCTTCCGGAAGTGCACGTGCTACTACTGGGATGGTTGCTCCGATGCCGGCTTCGGCTCCCCTACGCACCCTTAAGACCCTAGGGTTTCTAGCTGTAGGTCCCGAACCCTCCTTCCTTGACACCGTCGTTTTCGAGCCCAAGTCTTTTCACGACGATCCTGAATGGATCGGCGAACTGGCAGACTGCTTGGAGTTCGTTGAGCTGCTTCGCTATAAGTTCGCGGCACCGGGCCATATCAACGTTCTTGAAAGCCGTGCTTACAAGACTTGGATCAAGTGGTGCGCTAAACGGCATCCTCGATGCCGCTTGCTTGGGCTCATAGACAGCCGCGTTCTTTTGGGCGCGGCTGCTAAGGGCCGTTCTGCTAGCAGCGCGTTGTGCCGGGTTTTGCGCTCGACTCTTCCCTACGTTCTGGGCTCGGCCTTGTACCCCGGTGGACTTCACGTGTACTCTGCTCACAACCGCGCTGACGGGCCTTCTCGTGGTGCTCCTCCGTTGCCTCCTTCAAAGGCTTGGCCGTCCTGGCTTGTGTCTCTCGCCGCTGGTGACACTGCTCCTTTTGACCTGGTCTGCGCTTCGGCCTCCGTTCCTCGGCGGCTCGGTCGTTGGGTTCGCCTGCTACTTTTGCTTGCTGGCGATGTCGAGCGGAACCCTGGCCCTCGACATGCCGGCGGCCCCCGTGGCAGCCTCGACTTGCAGTCCGGTTTTGCGGCTTCCACTCGGCAGAAGATGGCTAAGGCCTTGCAAGCTTTCGTTGTGTGGCTTGAGGGGGTTTACGGCCTAACTTTGGCCGCTGTCACTGGCTCCGCTTCGACCGCTGCCCTCGCTTTGCGTGCCTTTGGTCTTCACCTTTACTCCGGTGGCTACCCTCGTTACCTCCTCGTGTACGCGATCACATCGATCCAAGACCAATATCCCGAATTCCGGTCCCACCTGTCTCCGGCCTGGCACGTCGACCGAAAGTGGCAACTGGCCGAGCCAGGGGAATGCCGCCCCGTCATTTCTCAGCCCATCCTTCAGGCTGCCGTTGCCTTAGCAATCTGCTGGGGATGGTTTGACTGGGCCGCCATCACTTGTGTCGGCTTTCTCTGCATGCTTCACCCCTCGGAGATGATCCCACTTCTTCGTCAGGATCTCGTCTTCCCTGCGGACGCTTTATCTCCGGACCCTGTTGCCTATGTCCACATTCGCAACCCTAAGACTCAGCGCTTCGCGCGTCGCCAACACTCCCGCTTGGAAGACCCTTCCGTCCTAGCGCTTCTCCATGCGCTGTACTTTGATTTCCCTTTGTCCGCTCGGCTCTTTCGGGGATCAATGCACGTGTACCGACGGCAGTGGAACGCCATCATGGCGAGGCTCGGAGTGCCTCACCAACTTGCCCAGCGAGGAGCTACTCCCGGTGTCCTTAGGGGCTCCGGGGCCACTTTTCTCTACCTTGAGACAGAGGACCTTCCTCTTGTGGCTTGGCGGGGAAGATGGAGCAAGACGAAGACTGTCGAGTTCTACCTTCAGGAAGTAGCAGCCCAGCTGTTGCTACACAGGTTGCCCTCGTGGTCGCGCGAGCGCATTCGCACTCTCGCCTCCTTCTCGCGATGCCTCATTGATCATGTCATCGCTTCTTGTGGCAATCGCCAAGTATGCTAGGGATGGAATCTGCTGTGCCGCAGCCCCTTGAGCATTTCTTCGGCCTACAGGCCACGCCCGAACCCTTAAGCCCCTGAGGTTTAGTCCCTAGGTTTTCTCTTTGGTTTAGGCTTAGGCTTGTAGCTCGCAGCTTTGCCTTCGGCCCTGCGGCAGGTTCACTCAGCTTGGCAAAACGCCTCGCTTCGGGACACTTCGCGACGGCAGGCGAAAAGGGGATGCAAAATATCCCATGTCAGCCATCAGACGCGACTCTGCAGTTCTTTCTCGCTAGGCTTGTAGCTCGCAGCTTTGCCCTCGGCCCTGCGGCAGGTTCACTCAGC